CAACAGAGGAAAAAGTTTTAGCAGGTTGGGAACTCAAGTGGAAGCAACTACCAGAAAAAAAAAAAAAAGATCTGCCTTTTCCTCAAGGATTATATTGATTAACTTCTGTATAGTGATTACTGTTTTCTAGTCAGATACATAATACTATTTAATCTTAGCTGTTCAAGCTAAAGCACATTTCAATATTTACTTGACAAGTGCTGATGAACACCATGCTTGACATAAAATCACTGGTCAGTAATATTACTGAATTAATTTATTCCCTTCTCTTGAAATCTACTTCATAGTATAGAAAAGAGAATTATATAAACAAACACAATAGAAGTCATTTTATCCAACTCTATTTTGGTTAATGGTTAGGTTTGCTTTTGAATAAGGTTGATAACATAGAGGAATCAGAAAAACTATTTTAACCAACATTGAACATTTTATTTAAGCTTCCAACTTATAGCTGTATTTTATTCACATTTCAATGTACAGTTAGGGCCTTTTAGTATAGTTTTGCAAATTGAAATTCCATATCATCTTCTCTGCATGAACTATGTCTTTAATCCAAAGTATAGTTATCAAGATAGTCAAGATAAAAACACTGACAGCTATTAGATCACTTATTGGGACCAGTGAGAAACTGCTCTTTAGAAAATAAGTTGTAATTATGCAACTGGCAGCTATTATCAGTCAGTATATTTCAGAGGAAATGAAACTTGTGGTTGATCTAGCAAGTTTGTTCAGTAGAACTTAGTGGCTCAAGCCTGTAATCCCAGCACTTTGGGAGGCCAAGGCGGGTGGATCACGAGGTCAAGAGATCGAGACTATCTTGGTCCACATGGTGAAACCCCGTCTCTACTAAAAGTACAAAAAAAAAAAAAAAAAAAAAAATTAGCTGGGTATGGTGGTGCGTGCCTGTAATCCCAGCTACTCAGGAGGCTAAGCCAGGAGAATTGCCTGATCCCAGGAGGCGGAGGTTGCGGTGAGCCGAGATCGCGCCATTGCACTCCAGCCTGGGTAACAAGAGCGAAACTCCGTCTCAAAAAAAAAATTGTACTTGTTTCTTTGTTATACACTTTTAGAAAAGTGGAAAAACGGAGAAAAAGGAGACTCACTATAGTGGGAGGTAAATAGTTCATGTATTTTCTTTGCTGAGAGCAAAGTTCCAAGAACCCTGTGTTGTAGAACCAGGAAACCCCAAAACTGCTTTGCTAATAACTGTAGCTCAAAGAAAAGACATAGAAAGAGATATCAGTTTCTTTTTCAGCAAAATGGAGTAGTGACATAATCCCTGAAAATTTTAAAGAAAAGTACACAGGATTGGGATTTAGTATCTTCTTGGCAGGTGAAATTTATTTACAATTTGGCGAGCAAGAGAAAATATTGAAGGCTATATTAACCAATATTGTAATTCCATTATAAGATTAATCTGAAATCTATGTCGTGGATAAATTAGAATAAGGAGAGCATTTGATAGAATGTGCCTAAGAGATTCCGAAGACACAGAAGGATGAAGCAGGCAGTGAGAAATAATATAAAATCTGCATCAAAGAACTGGATTTATGTTAAACGGTACCAGTTTGAATGGTGAAAATAGAGACAGAGGTCAAACAGGACATTGACAAATCAGGCTTGGTTGGGTGAATAAAGGGTGGCATCACAAAGGGAGATCAGAAATTCTCAGCTTTGATCAAATAGAAATTAAAACAGAAAGACATGTTGCCAGAGGTCTGAGGAGGGCATAGTCAGTTTTCTTCAATGAAAGAAAATTGCAACTTTACATCTTTTGTGATCAGGAATAATTTCATTTATCGAATCAGAATCAGATTATTAATAAAAGAAACTAATTACTTTGGTTTTGGACTTGCTGAATCTGAGGTACTGAAGGGCATGTGGATAATTTGAGTAGGAAGACATGGTTAGAAATGCTTCATGAAAGTATATGCCCGTCCACAGCATGCTTTATTTATTTTCATATTTCATAGGTGTTGATAAATACTAACTCAACAAATAAATGCATAATTATGTGGAAATTAGTTTGGCTAATGGGTTTATCTGTTTATGAAGCAGAGTAATGGTACAGAAACACAGAAAAGTTGCTATGGATATTTTGTAGAAGTTTTTGCACATTTTTTAATTCTCCTAAATTGTCACGGAGGAATAATTATTGGTTATATTAATGTTTAATGGTATGTAGCACTATCTGTTATTAGCATTCAAATATTTAATATTAAATTTGATTCCTAAAATAAAAATTGGATTCCTAAAGCCGTCAGAATAAGTAATTCTATAATATGATAAACAGGATAATTTTATAAAGCATGTAAATTATACAGAAGGGATATTTTACTGTGCCTCTGCCTAATAAAGTAAAATTTTAATCTTTATGACTTTTTAATCTTTGCTTCAAAATGTCTCATTCTTTGCTGTGGAGCTGCAGGAAAGATGTGGCAGTTTAATAAATTTGTTTACTCCATAATTTTATGAAACTGTTTTGTTATTCATCTAATCATAATTTTGTAATCCTTATTACTTTTGCCTTAAGCAGTTTTGCTAAAAGGGAAATTTTAAGGTTGTCAATATTCTTTCGCTTATTCAATTTAATACCCAGGATAATGACAATTGCCTTAAAATATATGTCATTAATTAAATGTTCTTAGTGCACTTCTTTGGGTAAAGAGAGGTAGGTGACTGGTATTGGCTAGTTCTTTGGCAAAAAAAAAAAAAATCTCCCCTTTTCTGATAATAGACCCCAGAATAGAAATGGGTCTAATATACTGGGCCTGTGCGCATGACCTGATTGGTTAATACTAGACAGTTAGGTATCTGACCCAAGCAGGTTTAAAGAGATGCTCTCTTAGGATAATTTTAACATTATATTTTAAAATAATTTCTGAGCTATGAAAAAGTTGTACAAAGAATACACAAATTTTCACATATCCTTTATGCTGAAACCGCACTTCCTGAGTATTTGAAACTTCAATGGAGACACATGAAACTTTCAAACCTGTGTTGAGCATCCCACAGCTGCTCTGGCTTCTCTTTGTCTCAAGGTTTGGTTGATTGGTTTCTTCTTGTAACTCCTTTCCTATTTTCCTCTTAATTCAACACATATGATGGCTATTAAAATTTCTCTTCATATGTCAGATTATAAGCACCAACAGCCCTAGTTCATTATCATATTCTATGTAAGCCCCATTTCCCGGGAGCTGTTTCTAGGCAGTCACTGACTGTGGCAGAGAAACTGAGGTAGGTCCATTTCTAGAAGGCACAGAACTCTGCAGACAGGGATTTTGATTTGCAGATACCCAATGGCCTTGACTAAATCTGTTCAGAACTGCAATACAGTCTAGGATGTTTCTCTCTACCCAAACTTCCTTTCTTTCTTTTCTCTTTAACTCAAGGTCAAGGCTACATCAAAGACTGACAGCTTTCACTCTTCTATTCTTTCTTTTTTTTTGTAGTAAACGTTACCTAACCCCTTGTTGACGCCTTATCTATTTTGGCCCAGGGAGGTTATGCTCTATTATCCATGTGCACACAACTTGCTTGGTAAGCCTGCTTGTCTACCCTTCAGATATTGTTGGTTCCTATGATAATTGTAGCTCTGGCTTTTGGTTGTTAACCACTGCTACCTGGCTTTTATTACGTCAAGGCCTCCTCATATGCATGGGTAGCCTGGCTTGGTGACTGGCTATTGCTGGACTTCCTGATCAGCAGAAAAACTACTGTTCAGCTTCTTAGATATGCTGGTATCATTTTCACACCTCATTTCCGATGGCTTCTGAATGATGTGTCCTCTGTGCACTTTTATGGAAAGTGTATGATGAATCTTCCACCTTTACACAATCTGCCTATTCCAGCATGCACACTGTCATCAGCCTCTATATTCTTTCTTTTCCCATCTACTAGGGCAGTACAGTCATTTCTGATGTGCTGAATGTTGTCCAACACTTCTCCTAGCTAATTATAACTCAATAGTAAATTAGCCACATTCCTTGGTGTTCTTGTTAAGGTGTTAAAATTTGTATTCCAAATAAATGGCCCTATATTGATGCGTTCTTGCCAATATAGTCTTCTATTCTGACCTCTTGTTCAGCATTCTCACTCTTCAATCCTGAGGGCATTTCATGGATTCTTGCCGTAAAATACTTGCCAATTTTTGATATTCTTTAGGTTATAATCTTTTTCTTATTTTACTAGGCCCAGCATATTCCCAACAGATTTGTGCTGGAATTTAATGCTAGCATTCATTCTGGTGGCCAGTACAGGAGATGGAGGCAGCTCCAGGAGATGGGGTTATGGGAAGTGGTGGAAATAATTGATCTTATCAGAGAAGTGTGGGCCACCTCTGCAAGCCCAAGGGTTAGAAGGATTTCTGCATAATCAGTGTCTTCATGGATCACTCACCTAGATGTTTCTACTCAATGTTTCATGTTACTACATTTTCCCCCAGGATACAGGTGTAACATCACAGACCTGCTTGGGTTGAGTACTCAAATATTTGAGGTTTTTGACTCTAACAATAAGATAGACATAGTCTTAAATAAGTTAATCCTTTCCGGCTATAGATGTTCTGCTGCTACAATAAAAAGTTATTTAATTAACTCACCAACAGTAAATGGGTATCCTTGCTTGGTGTAACAAATGAGCTGCTGGAAACTTAAATTGCATCCTTAATTTCCTTCCCTCTTTCCTTTACTCTCTACTTTCCTTCTCTCCTTTATTTTTCATCCTTTTCTCTCTCCATTTTTTCTTTCCTTCCACAGTTTTTCTCTCTCATGCTCTCTTTATTACCTTCATTTTTGCAGTAAACTCTGCTTGGATAAAGAATTACAATTAAAAAAATCTTCTGCTGGTGACTGTGCTGTCAGTTTGTCATATTGCAATGAGTGCTTATTCTAATAATGTTTGTATATATTACATTATTTTACCACATCTATCTTTCTGATAGATGCAGCAGCTAACAGGCATATAGAATTACCCAGGAAAAAGACGCTCAAATACAAAAGTCAGGAAGTATAGCCAAATTTGTAAACTAAATCAATAAATGAATTCATTTGCATAATGGCATTGTTCTATCTAAAGATGTTTTTAAAGCTACTAATACAAATCTTGTAATCTATGTTCACCTGAGGCAAGCTGAAGTAGAGGAAAAACAGAAAAAAAGTTTGTGTTTTATAATTTTCATTCCTGTGTACAAATAGACCTTAAAACTCAGAAGATAATTTTTCCATGAATAGTAAAATTGTCATACAATATTTCTTACACTTTTCCAGAGTTTCTGACAAAATAGTCTTCTCCAGCATTCACATTTGAATACTCTTTCAACTCAGAAGTCAACATAAACCAAAGGTAAAATTTTACTTTTGTATGTTGAATTATCACCCCAATAAGTTTATTATTTCATGGTGTTTTTGTTGGTGTTGACATTTTAAACACAAGATTTTTACCTTCATGAGTGCACAGTAATATTTTTTGTTGCTCTTTTAGTTTTTATTGTTTCCCATAAGGTCAAACATAAAATATACCTGCAATCACTGTGTGCTGATAAACTGAATATTTAAAAACAGAAAAAATTCTCAATGGTATTAAGTTAAATTGAACAATGGTATTATATATGGTACATAATACCGTTTATATGGCATAAACATTTTCATTATCAGTGATTTAAAGCTACAATATGACATCATGTAATGAATAGTTAGAAAGGTGTGCAAAAATAGGCTCCGGTGTGCACTCTCTCCAGCGCACTGCTGCCCTCCGTATTTGTGGGGTACATGGAACATTTCTTCCGTCTATCACTACTTTTCCAGTAGCAATAAAATTGATATGACTGCCTTTAGGTTCTTGTCTCCATTCCCACTGATTTTGTTCTGCCATTATATGCAACTGACATTTTTAAGCTTCTGTCTGTCTCTGAAATCCAAAGAGTTACCATGAGTTAGTTCATTTTCAGAAACCAAACATTGGGTCTATCTCTGTAAAACTGTATAGATGAGAACCATGAATTCTTTACCTTGGTTCTTTAGTTGGTTAAGGAGCCACATAGGTGTTTAATGGCATTTGTTATAACTCTGAAAATTATGGAAAATAATGTAAGTTTATCTATGGAGAAAGGTCCATGAATTTCATTAGATTTCTAAGGGACCATAGTGCAGAAAAAGGTTCAGAACATCTGCTCCAAACTTCCTTGTAATTTACTTTAGGTTCGTTTCTAGTTCTCTCAAGTTCCCATTCCCTGCGATAAATTAGCAGGTGTGCCTCATCCCTAAAGCTTTTGTTTGGACTGTCTAACAAGGGCTAATGACTTGCATGCCATGACATATCTATTTTTACCTTTTCTATTATGAATTATCCATGAAGAAAACAGCTAAAGTGTATTCTAAGAAGGTTACTACAGTTTTTTTAAGATGGGATGGAACCATGGAGATCCAGGTTTTAGTTTTGATCTTAAAACATTTCTGCTAGATGACTTTGGCAGAGGATGTAATACAGTGGTGAAGAGCATAGCATTTGTGATACAGAACACCTGGGTTCAAATATCAACTGTGCCTCATGTTATTCACATGGCCTTTGGTAGCCTAAATGTGTATAAATCTGTTTCATCATCTGTAATATATCACCAATAGTAATATATATTTCATTTGGCTGTTTTGGAAGAATAAATAGGATATGTCTTAAAAGCAGTTAGTGGAACACCTAGCCTGAAACAAAGAGTTAATACATGTTAGTTGCCAGGAGTATTATTTTGTCATTTCATTATTGTTATTTTCCTAATTACAAACATCTTGGATGATATATCATACTATATTTTATGACCAAATATACAACGTATTATTGTTTGTTGAACGAATGAAAAATATTTTTAAAACCCACATGCAATAGCCAGTGAGATAGCAAGTTTGCTTCTCTACAACACGTCACTTATGCCAGGTTTTTATCAAATAACAACATGTCTTTTCATTTTGTAAGCTGCATACTGAGCATAGCCTTACGGATCTGTTTTGTTTTTACACTGTAGATGATGGGGTTGAGCACAGGGGGCAAAAGCAGGTATACATTGGCCATCACTGAATGGACCGCTCTGGGGGCTGAGTGACCATAGCGATGCACCAAGGACAGGCTCAGCATGGGGATGTAGAAGATAGCAACTGCTCCCATGTGGGAGACACAGGTGCTGAAGACCTTGTGCCGTTCTTCAGGGGAGGCAATTCTGAGGACAGAGTAAATAATTAAGATATACGACAGGACAATGCATGGCATATCTATTCCAGTGGTCAGGATAAGATCAATTAATCCACAGATGCTGTTAGCCCGAATGTCTGAACATGCTAATTGAATCACGTCTGGATGGTAACAGTAGGAGTGGGAAAGGGCATTCATTCTACAGAAATAGAGAGGCTTAAAGAGCAAAAGTAGTGGCACCATTAGTACTATTGCACGTGTAATAATTAGGAGACCCATCTGAATGATTCTGGAATTAGTGAGAATGGTAGTGTACCTCAGAGGATCACAAATAGCCACATAACGGTCAAAGGCCATAGCCACCAGCACCCCAGATTCCATAAAAGCGAATCCATGAAGAAAAAACATCTGGACAATGCAGCTATCTAGACTAATTTCACGGGCATCAAACCAAAGGATACCTAATGTTGTTGACAATGTAGAAACAGTCAAGCCCAGATCAGTGGCTGACAGCATGGAGAGAAAATAATACATGGGTTCATGGAGACTCTGCTGGGTAATGATGATGAACAGGATCATAGTGTTCCCAGAGAGGGCAATGGCATAAAAACAACAGAAAGGAATGGAGATCCAGGCATGGGCAGACTCTAGGCCAGGAATGCTGGTCAACAAGAAGGTTGGAAATTTAGATGTCAAGTTGCTAAGGATTTCCATGGTGTCCCGGTTTTGCAGCATTTGTCCTCGTAATGCTCCCACCCTATAGAAGTGATACATTACAGTGTTATGCAAAATACTTAGACAATTTTCTTTTGGTTAGGAGAGTTATCCAAGGTTATAGAGAAGATCTGCATCATTGAGAAACCTCTAAACTAAAGTGTAATGTTCATCTACCATTCATAGTCAGCAAATATATATATATACCTATTTAACCCAAAATTCAAGGAAAATATGTCCTTATTTTATATCATTTTAGGATAATGTTTTTTATATCTATAAAACTTTGAGCTCCATAATATCATAAGATTCTATGAATAAAGACTTGGTTAAAAGATAAGTACATTAATTTTGAATATGTTTGAGTGAAACGAATAAGAGAAAGACATTTAAAAGTGTCCTCAATTCTGCAGTGACCATGTGGGTGTGAATCTGCAGACACAGATCTCCAGATAATTGCCAGTAATACAGAGTTGGATGTTAGAATTATATCCATATGAAAATAACATATGTGTTATTTTCATCCACCACCAAAGGTGAACAACCACAGAGAGTAGGTTTACAAGGGAAAACCAATGAAGACAGAACTCTCTAGAAGATTGCAAAGGACCGTATCTATTAAAGCAAGTTGTCACTGGTTTTATGGGAACTATAGTAACCAAGAGAACGTAGTATAAAGACTAACATGAACTGCTATTATGTGAACAACTGTGTTGAATTGCAAATTCAAATGCAGCCAATAGCTCATTAGTGACCCCGGGAAATGCAGTTGGAAACTGAGAAATTGCTACAGTGACTTTGGTAATGAATGAAAGGGTTAGCAGTGGATGTATCGTTTATTTTATTTCTGGAACATGGCTGTGAAGTCAAGGAGAGAAGTAGGCCCTGGTTAAAGAAGGGTATAACATAAATGGAGAATTTTTACGAAATGGGAAGTATTCAGAGACATGGCTAAATTCATAAACTGAAGTTAATGATACAATAGATAGGGAAAAATTGAAAATGTAGAATGTGAAGTATTGATTGATACATAATGTCCTTCAAATATTAGATGATTGAATATAGAGAATGGTAGTAATTAGTCCTCAGAAAGATGAGGATCATCGTTTCAATTGACACTGGAGAGTAGCAAATTGTAGGTTGGTGGAGGGTTATGTGAAAAAGTGTTACCCAGTATCCACATTTTGCTCTGTGAAATATTAGGAGGAAATTTACTGCTGTTCAAAAGTATGAAGTGATGGCTGGAGGAGTCAGTAGCAGTTTTCAGGAGACAGAGAATGAGAAAGGTGGTTGACTCAACAGAAATGCCATAAAATGGATTTGAATTAAAATTCTAAAAGTTATTTTATAAATTAATACATTTATATTGTTCAAATCAATTCTAAGAAGATATAAAATTGAATAATAGCAATACTCAGTATGTTATAATTTTCAATCAAGCTTTTAAAAATAGCAGGTGGCAGAGTGTGAAGTTTAAGTTCATGAGAGTAAATACCCTATAATAAGTACACATGTTATTCTTCCCTTTATGCTAGTTTTCTGTATTTTCTTATCTCTAGTTCCCTGAGTTTTAGTTGAATCTGAGAAAATTAAAATATTTGACTGTGAATTATTAGAGGTGGTATATCATTATCTGTCTTTTCTGTAAACCCATATGACTGTTTGTGAATAGGTAAGAAAACGCAAAGTCAACACAATGAACAATCCCCTCTTCCCTCTTACCAGTTTCATGTAGAAGGAGGGGCCTTCTCTCTTTTCTAGCAGAGAAAGAACAGACTACAGTTCTGGGGCCATGAACTTTATACTAAGGTGGAATTGAACTGTGGGCTCATGGGTCTCTCTGAGGCCAAAAAAAAAAAAAAAAAAAAAAAGAGGTGAAAGAAAATATTCCTATCTATGAAAATTACAGGGCAGAGGTGTACAATCTCAGAAGGGTTTTACTTATGAACCCAAGTGGCTTCAGGTCCACAGGGACACTAAATGAGAAGCAAAAGAAACCAAATCATACATATGAATAGAAAATTTAGACATCGAGGCACTGGAGAATAGAGAGAAGCACACCATTGTCACTGGATTATTAGTCTGCTAGCAAGATAAGAAAGCAAACCACTATTTACCAAAATAATTACAGTGAAAATTAAGAGGAGAAAATGTGTGCCCAGTCTCCAGGCCCCTATGTCTACATTTCCACATTGGCCTGTATCAAAGATGATACATGTCCATTATCAAATTAATCTCTATTCAACCACTCCATAGGTTCTTCCCAAGCAGTGGGCCAACTGATATGTTAATCAGGTCCTACTCTGCTCATTTATCTAAATCTTATGACTTAATTGGCACTAGAAATATAAGCCATGTTTATTATAATGCAGTCATTAAAATGCTAATGTTCTGACTGCACTTTAGCATCAACCAGGAAACTTAAAAAATATGTATACTATTCTTAACACACACCAATTGAATTACCCTTGGATTGTAGGACTTGTGATATAAAGACTGAGAATTCTTAAAATACAAGGGTACTAGGACAGAATTCTAGGCGCTCTTCATCCTGATTTTTCCAATATCTACTTATAAGTCTTTGGAAAATTCGATTAACCTCTCTGAGCCTCAGTTTCCTCAGACATAAAATGAAGATTAGGCATACTAACCTCATTTACTGAGCACCTATGTGCCATGAGATTTGGTCCCTTCTAGCTACTGTTAGTAAACAGTGATGTCTTAACTTCATATGTCTTGAAGTTATGAATCGTAAAGGTTAAGGACCCTGTCAAACTTTATATAGATAGTGAGTATCAGAGGTAAAATTCAAACACAGATTTGTCTGAAGATTTTAAAATATTTTCCAAAGTAGAAAGTTTTATAGCTAGGTCATTTCTGAAAACCATAGGCATAGAAAGTAAAATAAATAACTTATCCTTAAATATTTGTAAGTAATTGTTTTATTGAAGTATATATGCATCACAGTATGAAAATTATAAGCAAACCAGTTGAATTTTTACATTTGAATACACCATCCAGAAAAAGAAATGAAAAATTACTAACAGAAGAAACCAGCTTTTAAGATCTTACATCCATTATTCTTTTCTCTTCAAAAGTGATCACTATCCTGACTTCTAGCCGAATAGATTAGTTTTGCCTGCTTTTGAATGTTACCTGATTGGATCAGTGCTGTATTTGTACTAACATTATGTCTGAGAAATGTGTCCACAGGGTGTGTATAATTATAGTTGTTTCCTTTTCATTGCCTTATAATGTTCCAGTGTATGACTATACCTTACCTTAATTAACTTATCCTTCTGTTGTTGTTGGATATTGTTGTTTTTCCCATTTGTTTTCTATTGTGAATAATTCTGCTATGATTATCATTGTGCTTGGCATTTAAAAACACACATGCAAAACATATGCACACATTTTCAATTGTTATATACCTGAGAGTGAAATTGTTGGATAACTGAATAGGTTTATGTCTGGCTTTAGTAGATACGGCCAAAAAGTTTTCCGCAGAAATTATGTATAGCCATATACACTCCCACAATGTATATGACAGTATATGGCAGATCAAAGCAATTCAAATCTTTCTCTACAATTGTTATTTCTATTTGTGGATGTTCACTGTTACTTCATTAGAGTTTTAATTTTAATTCCTTTATGACTAATAGAGTGAAACAACTTTTGGTATATTTTATGCTGTTTGGATACTCCCTTTAAAGAAATGCCTCTCCAGGTCTTTTGCCTATATTCCATTGGGATGTGCCCTTTTACCTTTGTAACCACTTCATCACTTTGTTGATTTCCATGTGGATATCCAACAGATCTGGTATTCATTATTAAAATAAACATTTTCTTGTTAATGCATTGTGCTATCTCACTTTTGATAACTATCAAATGCCTATATGTGGGCTTCTTTCTAGATTTCCTGGTGTGTAATATTTGTCTATATGTCTTTCCTTGCACCAATATTGCACTGTATCTCTGTAATATGCTTTGATGCCTGGTATTATAAGCTCTTCAACTTTATTCCTTTGCATCAGTGCTTGGGCAATTCTAGATACTTCACATTTTAACCTAAATTTTAGAATAACCACTGCAGGAAAACCTGCTAAAATGTTGGTTTGGGATTGGATACCCATGCCATTTTTGAAAGAACTTACTTGTTTAAAATGTAAAATCTTGTAATTCATGAACATGATAAATATCTGTATTTATGTGTCTTCTTAATTTATGATGATTAATATTTTTTTCTATCAAAACTTTTCACACATTTGATTCCCAGTTGTATGATTTCTGATGCTATTTTAAATGATATCATTTTAGAAATTTATTTTTCAATTAGTTACTGATTTATAGACATACGATTCATAGTTCAATACTTTTTTGTATCCAGTTATCTTGCTTTATAATACCAACTACTAATAATCATTTATTCATTCATGTCAATTACTGTATGTAGTGCTATGCCTCTTGTTCTTCCTGATTATGTAAATGCACAGTCATGTAATCTGTGAATAGTTTTAAGTTTTATTTTCTTTTCCTTTACTCTGCTGAGGTATTTTACTTTTCTTGCCTCATTTAAATTCTTAAGGTCTCAGATAAGTTAAGTAGAAGCGGTGATGGTAGGTATCATTATCCTGTCATCAAACGCAGAGGGAATATTTAAAGCATTTCAACATTAAGTGTGATTTTTGAAGAGAAATTTTCTATTTCTGGTTTACTCAGTTAATATAAATATTAATTTAGATTCGTCACTTTTTTCATATGAAGAATAAGTTTTTCTCTTCATTTTATTAATTTGGTAGGATATATTGCATGATTTTTAAATTTAGTGAATTTTTGTTTGAAAGTTTTGCCTCTAAGCTAATGAAAATTTTCATTTTAACTTTCCTTGTTTTGTAATGCCCTTTCAAGTTTTATGACCTCACAAAATAAGTTGGGAAGTGTTTTTTTTCACCCACTTTGGAAGTATTTGTACAATTAGAATTTTTTATTTTATTTTTCTATTTCTCCCTTACATCCTTGGGATAATTCACT